TCTCCCTGCGGTTGGGACCATGTTCCTTTTAATGCTGGGGGCAGAATTCAGGAGCTGAGGCAAACCGCAGGTTTTGGGTCTTTTTTCCATCCAAGGAGCCCAACAATTGGTACCACCTGGATCGATCCAGTTGCGATCGCTTTTTCTCCTTGTACTTTACCCCCAAAACCAGCAACAGTGACTGAACAAATCAGCAACTGGGCTATCTAGGTGGGACCATTCTCCTTTTAAGGGGGCCGGGCGCATGTAATTGGTGGGAGGATAGTGGTGGATCCGTGGAGACTTAGATTTTGGGTTGCACTCCCACCATTTCTTCCCATATAACCTGACCTTCGGGGAGATGGTCCTGGTGTGGACCATTTCCGCTTTGAAAGTTCGAGGGTAGTAGCGGATTGTCCGGTTCAACTTAGGTGTTTAGTGGTTTTTAGTCGGTGAAAGGTGGTTGGGTTTCCATTTAACCCACAAGTTGGTCGCTTTTCGCAGCCACTATTCTGCGAACAGCTCATATCCCAGCTCTCCTGAATGGGAACCCCGGATCTAAATAGACCACCCGTCCTATTTGCGCGATTCCCACAAGGGGGGGCACACCTACTAGGTCCCCCAGTAGTGCCCTTTTACCATTTTTTGGGAGGGTTGCACTACTAAAATTGACTACAGAAAAAAGTTGGTACCCCTATTCTAACCTCTCTACTGGAGGACCTAGCTTACTGATCAAAATCAAGGGCTTCATCAGTCCGGAGTTCCCATTGGAGGGAACATCAGCCAGGACCTCTTCGACTTCCTGGCACGCCATGTGTGTGACGTCTGCGAGTCACAGGCCACCCGGTTTCAAACGGCCGGGGAATCTTTGACGGGGAAGCACACTTTTAGAAGGCATGTCATTCAACTGGCAAAATTGTGGAAGGTGTCAGTGAAATGGGCTCGGAAATACGCGCGCCCCAAAAGCAGACCTTCTGGGAACTTTGGAAACAGATTTAGTGCCGCCTGGAAAGTGGTTTCAGAAAGGACACCATCTAGGTCCCCCAGTAGTGCCCTTGAACCCTTTTTGGGGGAGGGTTCCCCTACTAAAATAGACTACAGAAAAATGGGTACCCAATTCTAACCTCTGGAGGACCTAGAAATTGGTTGTTTTTGTTGCTCTTGGCTTCGGGTTTGGGAAGAAAGAGGGCAGTGGGGATAGGGGGCTAGCAACCATCGATCTTTGCGAACACCCGCTGCTTCTCCTTGTTGCTGAATGGGAAATGTGGATGTAAGTAGAACCCCCTGGTCGATGTTGAGAGATGGGTCAGGTGTCCCGGTGTCCAATTCCTAGTGGGGATGACCACTTTTGGAGGGACACCCCCTATGAAAATCGGGGTTCCACTTAGCTCCATGATCATTAGGTCCTGTTTGCTGAAGCTTTATGCCAGAGGTCCGGAGGCTTACACCCCCAGGCCACGTGAGTTGCTTCCCTGGGCGCGGACACAAAGTGGGATACACTGTGGTCTGGCGTTGTGGAGTCCGCCATCCCAGCCTCCCACAGAGGATGTCGGAATCAAAACCGATTCGGGTAGACGAAGGTTAGTCCGGGACAATTCCAACCATAAATAGCTGCGGCCGCCTTCCTAATTCTTCACATGGTTCTGGGATTACGACTATTTTACTACCGGGTCTTCACTATGACTCAGATGGGTATGGGTCAAAATTAAATCACCGTTACCCTATTTATGACCCACAGCCGCATGGTTCTGGGTAGACCATTCTAAAACCGGGCTTTTGATTGTGGCTCAGACTTCTTGGTCCTACGCCTTTTGCACCCTCTGAACCCAAAGCCGGTTTTGACTATGACTCAGAGGATGTCCGGAGTTCTCGCTGTGCTTTGAGGCGGCAGACCTGCTGCCGCAGAACGTGTCGATCATCTCCTGGTCCTTTGCCAGGCTGGCGCTGCTGAACCAGAAGATGATGGAGCTGCTGGCGGAGAGGTCCCAGTCCCTTGCTCAGCTGGAAGTCATAGGCAAAACCCCGGGTAGATGAAGGTTAGGAAGGGAACATCCCGGCCATACATGGCTGCGGAGATCCGCCTTCTTAGCTCTTCACCTGGTTCTGGGTGCATTTGGGTGTGGCTCAAATCAAAGAGCTGCGGTTGCGTGGTTTTAGTCTTTGCTGCCATTTGCCAGGGCAAGCCATTTTGGGTACCCATTCAGTTCCTTGGCTGTGGTTGTCAAAACCACTGAGTCACAATTCAAAACCTGGGTAGATGAAGGTTAGTAAGGGAAAATCCCAGCCATAAGGTTAGTAAGGCTAGTAAGGGAAGTCATTTGGGTGTGGGTCACAATGAACCCACCAGGAATTGTTGACCGCAGGTTTTAGTCCATGTTTCTATTTACCAGGGTCTTGGCTGTGGTTGTCCAAACCGTTTCGGGATCCCATTTTGGGGGTCCCGGTGAATTCACCGCCCATTTTGGAACCTATTTTCGTGGGGATTGAATCGGATGTTCACTGGGGGTGGGGGATTTTGACCCATGGCCCCTTGGCGGCGACGATTCATTGTGTGGCCGGTGTTGGTCGGGGGTTGAAAGTTTGGCCTCAAGCGGAGGTGAATCCCCGTGGCACAGCCTCTCCCCGTTTGGGGAGTTGGGTGTGTCTTTTTTGTCGCAGAAGGTACGCCCCTGAATACCACTTCTTGCCCCCCCACCCGAAAAGCAAAACCAGTTTAGTCTGGATGCACATGGGGGGCTTGTGTTGAACCGGGGCAAATAGTAAAACGGAGCTTGTAGAAACAGCTCTGTTAGCAGCAAATCACCCTGATTCCCCTGATTAATCCCCTGTTAGCCCTTACTTAGAGAACCCTGGCCTGTCAAATGGGGGGAATTGAAAAGGGGAAGCCAGCTCCTGATTCCCCTGATTCACGCTTAGAGAACCCTGATTCCCCTGTGTGTAGAATAGGGAGCTTCTCAGGCCCAAAGGCAAAGACCAAGCCCTCCTCTGAGAGGCAAATTTGGGTGGTTGGTATCGTTTTTTTCTCTTTTTTTTTTTCATTTTTTTTTTTTTTAAAAAACTATGGTCCGGTTGTCAGCTACCATGTCCTTACAGGACTGGTGGCGGTCTTTTTAAAGGCACATTTGGAATATGGTTATTGTCTACTGTCTGTGTACCCTGCTCCTTCTCAAGCATGGATCTCGGTGGGGAGGGCTTAGGCAAAGGGCACCCTTTGTGGGTTGGTTGAAACGGAAATCAAAAGGATGCCGCCCTAAATGGGGGCATCCTTTTTTAGGCTTTCCCCTCAAAGAAAAATCATACCCTGATGGGTGGTTTTCCTTTTGGTCTTGATATGAGCACCACTTCTAGGGATACCCTCAAAGAAAGAGAGAGAGAGAGAGAGAGACCGAGTATAACGGGTTTCCCAAAGCGCCCAGTAGGTTTCCTTTCACGCGTCTCAGGCGAATGCTCGGAGGCCTCGACGGGCAGGGGGTGGCCAACCTCCTCTGGTCCTGGGCCGTGCTCGCGCTCCGGCCGGCGAGCGGCGAGGGGTGCGTTGGCTTGGCGCGGCGCGCGGGGGAGCTGGTGCCGGAGATGGGGGCCCAGGAGATGAAATGGAGACCAAATGGGAGATTGGGGGTGGGGAGAACAACAGGGACACCACCAGGTTCAGGGTTGCTGGGTGCCAACATAGAAGTTGGCTAACCGCCAGTTCGGTCCCTGCTTTTTCGGGGGTCGCAGACATCCACGAAACCAACCCCCAGCGGCTATGGGGAAAAAGGTGGTTGGCGGTCGACATACGGTAACTTGAAGGAGTTTTCCCCTCCCAAAAACGGAGAAAGAGGTGAAACCAGGACAAGGGCACCGGTTTTCTTTCAGGTAGTTGCACCTCGCGGGTTGGAGGGGTGAGGCACCTACTTGGAGATAAACCCACCAGGAGATGTCCAACGTGGCCTGGGGCTTGCAGATCTTGCAGCAAGCGGAGCTTCTGCAGTGCTTCCTGCGCCAAGCGGCAGGCGGAAACCCGAATTCGCATTCGCCAGAGCAACCGGAGCCAGACTCAAAACCCGGGTAGATGAAGGTTAGTCAGGGACGATCCCAACCATAAATAGCCTAATTCTTCCCATGGTTCTGGGGTTACGACCATTTTACTACCGGGTTTTGATTGTGACTCACCGGAGTTTGGGCCATGGCTGTGATCTGCTTCCTTCCCTCAACTTGGTGGTTCAACCAGCGAATCCTCCAGTTCAGCTTAGGTTTTTGGAGGTTTTTAGTTGGTTTCGTGGGGCCCGGTTTCCGAGTTTCGCCCACGACTTAGTCACTGTCAAGCCGGGGATCTGAAAACGGACAGCCTAGTTCATATGATTAAAGTACCTGGTTTAATTGGGATGAGGCCCATATGGGCGTGTCTCAAAATCTCACTTCCCGAGTTCTGGACTCTAGACACTTTTGGGGTTGAACCATTTCAGCAAATGAAACACTTTGACCAATCCTTTTTTGGGTTCCTTTTTGGTATTAAAGGGACACTCAGGTGATCTCCTTCCTTTCCCTCCCAGCTTTCCCCCTTCCCCGCAGGATAGGGATGGTCATCCACTTGATAAGGATCCTCAATCATTGTAACGCCAAGCAAAAAAGGAGTTTTCACCATGGCTGTCATCTTCCTTCCCTCAAGTTGGTGCTTCAACCAGCGAATCGTCCGGTTCCTTTTTGGTATTAAAGGGAAACTCGTGTGGCTGTGGGGCAAAACCAATGTCGGTGGGTCAAAAAACCCTTCCCTTTCCTCTTCGAGGCCCCTTCCTTCGCCTCGACCGCTCCGACGGCGCGGCCTGGGCGAAGTTCGCCAACGCCGCCGCGGCCGTGGCCGACGAGGCGGAGGAGCTGAAGGCCGTGGACCGGGCGTGGCCTGGCAGGGCGAAGTGGGGAGAGTCGAGGCCAAACCCCATCCCCCAAATTTTGTGAATACTTGTTAGCTTGATATAATATACGTATTGTTGTACATATATTATATGTATAGCTCTCTCTCTCTCTCTCTATATATATATTTATGGCCAAATAAAAAGCGACAGGTCAATTTCGTGGTGTCACGTTGAAACTCCATTTTCAACGCACTTTTTGGTTGCCAAAAGCAAACATTCCTCATGCGGACCCTGAACCTGAAAAACGTTGCCATTTGCGCATTGTGGTTTCTCAAATTGCAATTGTCCATCGAATTCTATTCAATGTTTTTTTGTTTGGGAAACCACCATTTGCAATTGGCAACGTTGCAGGTTCCAGGTTGTGTCATTTTGTTGAACCCACTCCTTTTCAACGTACCTTTTGGATTTCCCAGAAAACACTATTTCTGCGAGGCTATGGGCACAGTTTTGTGGGTTTGGGGCAGCTCTAGAATTTCAACGCACCCAAGCCTGCGGACCAAACACCAATTCCTTCGGTGGATGGCCGAAATCCGTTCGCACCACTTTGAAGCCATGGTCGAAACCATCTCGTTTGCTGGTATTTACGTTGGGGACTCGAATCCTTCCAGGGCTTCCGAACGGGTGGTGCCTAAGAGGCGGATTTCGTCCACCAGGTCCCTAGATCTCGGGGGTCACCTTCCAGCAAGCTTGACAGGGGGACCACGCCCCATCAAACCCAAAACTGAACAACTCGCGCGCCTGTAGCCCAACACGTATCCATAGGAATCCTCTTTAGGTTAGTGTGGTTAAACATAGAAGGCACTGGTTTAGGTGGGTTTTATTCCATTTGCCGGGGCCGTCCTTTTTTCCAAAAGGACACCTATGGTTCTATCCTTTTTTTAGCTTTCTAGACCAGGAGACCTCCTGGTCCTACACCTTTTGCACCCTTTGCCCAAAGCCAAAGCCAATTGGCTGTGGGTCAAGATGAATGGGATCCCATTTTGGGGGTCCCGGTGAATTCACCCCCCCATTTTAGAGCCCATTTTAGTGGTTGGATTGGGTCCCGTTCACTGAGGGTACGATTTGGCTTGTGACCCATGGCCAATTCGCCACATTCCTAGACTTCTGGACTTCTGAGCCTGCGAGCCTTGGCGTGCAACAGCCGCGCCCACATGGTCGAAGCGAACAAATCCCTCCGAAGGCAACTCATGTAGCCCAACCGTAGGGGGAAGACAGGGGTTTCCTCAGTTGTTTTTGTGGTTTTCCGTTGGTTTTTCGTGGTTTCCCGTTGGTTTCGCGGGGCCCGGTGGCCATTTTGAGAGAAGCTCCACTTTGTTGCATTTTGCCAAGGGATGTTAGGACTGAGCAACTTTTTGCCCGCCAGTGGATTTTCCATATCAAACCACTGAAAGTTAAACAAACGTTTAGCAGGGGAGCAGATAGCAATCGAGCAACCGTAGGGGGCAGGACCCGGGCAACACTCCACCAGGAAGCAGCAGGGCAGTGGGACGAGCAAAAACTTGGTGTGTGCTTGGAACTTGTTTTTCTTTCTCCGGGGTGTGGCTTGTTTTGAGGCTATATTCTATACAAACCCGGAACCTGCAACAACCAGTTTACAAATGGTGGTTTCCCAGACAACCAATTCCTATGAATAGACCTTCATTTGGAAAATACAAATGAGACATTTCCCATGAACTGGGAAACGTTACCCGGGCCAGGAATGTTGATCAACCCCCACATCCCCTAGTTGGGGAGCAATGCTGGGGGTGAATCGCTTCCACCGAACACCTGACATCTAAACGTGTGTTTGCGGCCAAAACCCTCGAACAAGAAGGTAATTCAAAACAGCTACCATCTCTACAAGGTATAGTAAATACAACGAGGAAGCCCGGTCGCCGGTCACCCAACGAGGTTCCATCCCACCTGGAACCTGCAATCAGATTTCAAGCCCCACATACCCAGCATTTGCGCCCCATAATAAACAGGTGGGTGTGGCTCAAAATTTAAGAGCTAGGGTTACGCAGGGTTTGGTCTTTGTTTCCATTTGCCTAGGGGCCATTTTGGGTACATCTTTTTGAGCCCCATAAACAGGTTGGTGTATGACTCCGGGGTCAGGCAGGGAGCCCAAGGGCGCTCGCCGTGGGCCTCCAACGAGGTTCCGCCAGGACTTCTTCGAGCCCGTGCTGCGGCGCCTGCGGCGCCTCGCGGACGGCCGAGACGATACCGAGGAGACCCAGGCGGAGCGCCGCGGAGCCAAGGGAAGCGCGAGGGTTTTAGCCCATAGGTGTCCTTTTTGGTTGTTTTGCTAGAAAAAAAGAGATGGCGCTGGTTTGCCTGGTGGTTTAATCATTTGCCAGGGCCATCTATTTGCCGTAAAAGGACACCTATGTTTTGGTCCCTTTAAAGCAGCGCATCACGGTGATTGGCTTAAAGTGTTTGGGTTGTTTTGGTGGCTTTCCGCCATCCAGTGCCTTAGCCTTTGTGTTTTTTGTTTTCGTTTTAGTGTTTGGTGGTAGTTTCCATGTAACCCACTGAAAGTTAAACTTTTAGCGGGGGACCGGGGATCTGAGGGCAGCCCAGAAGTTTTTAGGTTGTTTTGGTTCTGTTCATCTTTAGTAGGCTGCAAAAGGCAATGCGTGTTTTGCTACCATACCAAGGGTTGCACAGGTAGCGTGTTGGCTGTGGCTCAAAATATGTACCTTGTTAGATGGAACCAAGGCCTACGCAAGTTTTCCATGGCTCTTTAATTTTGAGCTACACCCTGTTGACCATCGTTAGCATCCTAGTCATGAACCGGGCCCTAGTGGTTGTCAAGTAGTTGCGTTATTGTTCTATGTTTATTTCGAGCGGCACCGATCCGAGAAACGAGAAAACGAGAAAACGCGCTATGTCCTCTTTGGTCATTTACTTCGGCTCCACTGCTTTCAGGTTTTTGTAGGGGTAGCTTCTCCATTTTTTCCCTCGATCCTTCTTTCTAGAAAACCACCAAAAAACCCTCGGGAACTGGCTGGAAAGGTGGGACCTTTTTGGGCCAATTTCAGTGAGTATATTTTGAGGGGTTTCCCGAAGGATATTTCCCCAAAGCAACACAGAAATTTCGGTTCCCCATATTCCCCTTTAGACATCACCCCACCAAAAAAAGGAAGCTCGCTTTACATGCCCCCGCCCAAACACTGATATTCAACCCATCCCTAACGGGTTGTGGTATAAGACACCCTGAACGGCAATGCCAGATTTAATTTTCGGAGAGTCAGCGGGTTCCGTTTGGTGTTCCAACTACCAACGTGTCGGATTGCCCCCCAAAACAAATCAAATCAAGCAAGCAACAAATGAATGCTGGCATGCTTCCTTTTGGCTTCCCATTTGTTGACCAATCTCCGCGTCGAGAAACCCCGATTCTTCCCTGAAAGCTATTATTTTGTCCAAGACGGGCAAAACTCAAGCGGAACCGACCAAGCACATGCCGTGCTTTTGTTCCAGCTTGCTTTGGCAGGTTTTCCGCCGCCAACCCAAAAGAAAAGGCGGGTGCGACTTTCTTTTACGCATCCCCCCGGCATGGCTTCAGGTTGTTCCTCTTGGCTTCCCCTTCAAAACCCCCCCGCGAACAAAAGAAAACTCGCCTCCAAAACAAGGACAAAGGCCGGCCTCAGGTCTTTGTCTCCAGGGCCTCTGTTTTTTTGTTTTGTTTTTTCCCAGGTGGCCATGAATTTCAATTGGGAACCACCTCAAAAGTGCTGGGTGGACATGACTCCCCACCGAATTTTGATGTCCACCAAAGGGCCCCGTATGAAAAAAATCACAGCCAGGTCTCGCGCCTGGGATGGCGCTACTCCCTGGAGGCCTTGGCATCGCTGGGCATCGGCGCCGAGGAGGAGAGAGGACGTCGCCGGTCGTAGGCGCGGCGAACGAAGACGCGGCCGAAAACGCGACGCGCGCTTGGGGGGCGGTGTTTGGAGGTTTGGTCCGGATGTCGCCGAAGGGATGCGACAAAAATGGGCGGCCGTTCCTTTCTCAAAAAGGGGATATATTCGTGTAGTTGGAGAAAGGCGGCGGCTTTGATCAGTTGGGCGAGCGGTGAAAACCGACATCGGCCACGTGGCTCGGTTTGCTGAGCGGCCACTAGGGAGCCGGACGAGTCCCGAGCTCCCGAAAGGTCTGGTTAGGGACATGGCAGTTGGTCCAGAAATCCGTCCGAGGTCCGACCTGGACATGTCCCCTACTGTGGATGGACGAAATCCGCTTCTCGCACCACCTAAGACAGCCTGGAATGATGAATCCCTTTTAAATACCAACAAACAATGGTTTCCCATGGCAGGATTGTGTCTATCCACAGTATTGGTTTCCTGTAGGCTTCCGTTGACATGCCAACCAAAAGGGGATCCGAAAATTCCCAATTTTTGAGCAGCAGATGTTTTGCAGTGCACAGTTGTGCCTATCAAGAAGCGCAACTGTTGGGGCAAGAGCATTGCCTTCGGTTCCAGGTGGCAAAACCAACAAGAGGTGCCCCCTCCAAAAAAAAGGAAAAACCAGAAAAAGAGCACAAAAACAACCAGCCGAGCCACGCATCTCGCCCGAACCGAACGAAGCCTCGCGGCCTCGCGCACAAAGCTTCGATTCGCTAGGAGTGGCGCCGGGAGGCGCGGCTGGCGTGCCGTCTGGCGCAAAGTCAATGGCAGGTGCCCACCCGCGCGAGCGGCTGGGCCTGAATTGGCTGTGGGTCAAGACCCGTTTTTGGGATCCCATTTTGGGGTCATGTTGACCCCCAGATTAGTAAACACGGGTTTAAAAAAATCCGGGGTGAACATTGGGTGCACCGCCCATTTTAGAACCTATTTTAGTGGTTGGATTGGGATGTTCACTGTACGATTTGGATTTTGACCAAAGACACCCAATTGGGGTCGCCTAAAGACACATCCATGTCTTTCCCCACTTCCTGAAGCCCGTTTCGGACTTGAGTGGACCACTTGACTGGACCAAAAGTTGCCGGTGTCCACTCGATCGGGGAGTTTCTGGTGTCTCCTCCAAAGATAGTTGTTTTTTTTCTTCCTATTTTTTGGGCTACGCCATGAAACCAAGTTTTGGCGGAGCCGGTGTTTCTCGCTTGTTTGTTTGTTTGTTTGTTGGTTTGTTTGTTTGTTTGTTTGTTTGTTTGTTTGTTTGTTTGTTTGCTTGTTTGCTTGTTTGCTTGCTTGTTTGTTTGTTTTTGGGGAAAGTTTCAGGAGTCCCTTTAGTTCCCGCCTTGCTGGCTGGGATCTTGACGTCGCCCCTTTGGCCAATTGGAACTGAGCTTCCCCTTGGTGGTGCGGATGTTGTTGCGGGTGGCCAGTTGACAGACCCTCAAGTTTGGAGCAACGGTTTGACCCAGGGCTGCGGGAAATGGAATCCACTTCTGTGATACAACAGAAAGGGCTTCCCAACCCCTCCATATCAAGGGGGAGATTCCAACTTGTATCACAGAAGTGGGAATGAACCCCTTGATCCCACAACCCTGTTTTAACCTCTACAAGTTTGCCCTGAGAACGGACTTGACCGGCCCGCGACATGGAGAGTTCCCCTTGATTCCAGCCACAAGAAGGGACTCCCCTGACAGAAATTGCATTTGACAACCGTCTAGCAGGCTGGAACAACCTCCTTTTGGGAACTGCCACGTGGATGTATTTGAAGATGAGGAGCCTTTCAAAATGGTTGGTTTCTCAACAACGAAAAGACAAGTTTCACACTCAAAAATGACACGACCACGTTTCAACAAGATACCGACTGAAAAAAAAGAGTTCCTGGAGTCTCCTTAAGGACCCTTCAAAAATGATTGCCAAGAATCATGGGGTCATCAAATGCGGTTGCATCGCACAAGCCAGGGAACGTGTGGGTTTAAGCAGCTGCGTTGCTGCCGCGGGGCGATCGTCCGATCGTCCGATCGATCCGAGGCGTGCTCGCCTATGGCAAGTGGCGCCTTTTTCCGTGCGGAAGAACTTCGGAGCGGTGCTGCCAGCAGTTGCTTGGCAGATGGCTGTGGTTGTCAAAACCAATGGTACCATTTTGGGATAGGTGCACCACCCATTTTAGTTTATTTTAGTTGGGATTGGGATGTTCACTGGGGGTACGATTTGGGTTTTGACCCATGGCCAGATCTTTACTTTGGCCACACACACACACACATGGCTGTGGGTCAAACATGCGTACCCAAAATGGGTTGCCCTGGTAAATGGAGCCAAAGACTAAAACATGCGGTCCCCTGGTGGCATTCTCTTGGTGGCTCCCAGCCATCCAGTTCCTTAGCCGATTTTTGTTTTGTAAGTGTTTACTGGTGGTTTCCATTTAACCCGCTAAGAGTTAAACTTTTAGCGGGGGATCTGAGGGCAGCCCAGTTCTGTGGATGGTTGCGAATTTCACCCAAAGCACCACCGTTCAGAAGTCCTGGTTTATGTTTCGATCCCCCAACAATAAATACCAACGTAGGGTTTCAACTCCACGGTTTCTTAGGTGCAAAATGAATTTCGCGACCGTCCACAGTACCTTCTAAGCTTTTGGACAGTTTTTGTTTGGCTTGGCTAGATGGCAGCCACGTTTCTTCTTTTGTACAATGGACTTCTTTTTTCTTTTCTTTTTTTTCCGGCCGTCAACCCCTCGTGACCTTTTGGACATTGACGAAGGTTCCGTAGCCAACTCGCAGACTGTTGTTGATTTCGACCACCCAAGTGTTGACCGATTTGGCGATGAGTTCCCCGGATTTGAAGGAGGTTTCACACGGAATGGCTTGCAAGGGAAACCAAAGAGAAACTTGGTTTCAGCCACAAGAGGGGATAAATGTCGGATAGCGAAGAATCAAGGGGAAAACAAATACATATATATATATATATGCTTTAAACAATATATATATATATATATATTTCCCACCCTGAAAAGGAAATGGGGGAGGACATTCAGAAATGTATCTTTTTTTCGGCGGGAAGCACATGGCTGCCCGGTCGGGGCGGAGAAAACCAACCAGGATCCCAAGCCCTGGCAATACTGAACTAATGCAAAGCTAGTGCTACTCGGTACTAAACCATACAAACCCAATGCTAAGCCAATCCCAAGCCACTAAGGACAGGGCAGGATGCGCAGAATGAGAAAGGAATGCTCGCAAGTCTGCCAATCATAGCATGGTAGTCAAGCACGCTGTTCCAAACCACCAAAATCAGCTGAGGCCCCAAACATCTCTGGGCCAGTACTGCCGAGGAATACCAAACAAATACTAAACAATACTACTTCAATTTTTAAACAGTTACTCAAACAAATCAAAAAACAGCACTGGACAGACAACACCGAAGAGGTCCGAAGAGGACCGAAGTGGACCGAAGAGGACCGAAGTGGACCGAAGAGGATTGAAGTGGACCGAAGAGGACCGAAGTGGACCGAAGTGGACCGAAGTGGACCGAAGTGGACCGGAGAGGACCGAAGAGGATTGAAGTGGACCGAAGAGGACTGAAGTGGACCGAAGTGGACCCGGAGAGGGATTGAAGTGGACCGAAGAGGACTGAAGTGGACTGAAGTGGACCGAAGTGGACCGAAGTGGACCGAAGCGGACCGAAGTGGACCGGAGAGGACCGAAGAGGATTGAAGTGGACCGGAGAGGACCGAAGAGGATTGAAGTGGACTGAAGTGGACCGAAGTGGACCGAAGTGGACCGAAGAGGACCGAAGTGGACCGAAGTGGACCGAAGTGGACCGAAGTGGACCGGAGAGGACCGAAGAGGATTGAAGTGGACCGAAGAGGACTGAAGTGGACCGAAGTGGACCCGGAGAGGGATTGAAGTGGACCGAAGAGGACTGAAGTGGACCGAAGTGGACCGAAGTGGATTGAAGTGGACCGAAGAGGACTGAAGTGGACCGAAGTGGACCGAAGTGGACCGAAGTGGACCGGAGAGGACCAAAGAGGATTGAAGTGGACCGGAGAGCACCGAAGAGGATTGAAGTGGACCGAAGAGGACCGAAGTGGACCGAAGTGGACCGAAGAGGATTGAAGAGGACCGAAGTGGACCGAAGTGGACCGAAGTGGACCGAAGTGGACCGGAGAGGACCGAAGAGGATTGAAGTGGACCGAAGAGGACTGAAGTGGACCGAAGTGGACCCGGAGAGGGATTGAAGTTGACCGAAGAGGACTGAAGTGGACCGAAGTGGACCGAAGAGGACTGAAGTGGACCGGAGAGGACTGAAGAGGATTGAAGTGGATCGAAGTGGACCGAAGAGGATTGAAGCAATGGCTGGCTCAAGGTTGATGGAATTATAGCGCAAGCACTGGAGTGTCCTACCTAAGCTATGCTTCGCCATCCTGGGGTGTGCGCGTGGGCCAACAGTTCTGTGTGCTTTTTGCTCAATCACCGTACTGGGGAGGGACGAAATCCTGCACTACCCACGAAACCCTGCAATGGTGATTCCCATGTAAATGCCAACAAAGAATTGTGGTTTTGGTAGAAAAATAGGTGGCCCTGGTTTACCTGGTGGTTTAATCATCTACCAGGGCAATATGTTTTCCCCTAAAAGGACACCAATGTTTGGGCAATACATTTTTTCGCACAGACCAGCTTGTGAGCCCGATTCCTGCATGTCACCAAACCACAATCTGTGCCTGCTTGCCTTCGTTCCCACCGCGCTCAAGCGCCCAGATGTCAAATGCCTGGCTCCTTGGTGGGCGTGTCTCTTCTAGGGGACCACAAGCACACAAACAAAAATGGCATCAGTTTTGGCACTGGCTCAAAAAACATGTACAAAAATGGTAAATGGAACTAAAGACTAAAACCAGCGGTTGGCCCTGGGTCTTTAATTTTGAGCCACACCCTTTTCCTTTTCGGTTTCCTTTAAAATACTCTTGCCAGGGATCCTTCTTTCTAGAAGACCTCCGGAAACCGAGGCAAAACGGATCCGGTGTTTGGAAAGAACGATGGTTGAAAAGAATGGACAAGGAATCAGCCCTTAGAAGCTCCACCAACCCCCCTCTCCAAGAGGGCCCCCAAAAAGAGGAACCCCTAGAATCAACCCCTAGACTGGTCAGGCTGGGCCACGTGTTCTCCTCCGAGCTGGCGAGCACATGTGTCGGGCCGGCGGATGTGCCGCCGGCGGTGGCGGAGGCGGCGAGGGGAGGGCAGGCGGAGGCGGCGGCGGTGCTGAGCTTGTGCCTTTGGTTGAAAGGGAAAGCCCTGGGTGGGTCTTCCAGGGTTCCACTTTCGGACAACCCCCAAGATAGACTTAAACTCAGGGGGTCTCCTTTTGGGGGGAATGACCAACCCCTGGGTTTAAATCTACCCTAGGGAAAAGTAGAACGCTGGGGTCTTCCTTTGGCAGTTTGGTTTGGTATTTTAGACGTTGGGGTTGAATGGGGCAACAAGCCAGCGATCGACCCTCTGCTTCGTGAGTCACCGTGTTTCCTCAGGTTTGCCGAGCTGCGGATGGACGATATCCTGCACCACTAAAGAAACGCTAAAGAATGATGATTCCCCTGTAAATGCCAACGAACCAGCAGGGTTTCCCATGGTTTTAAAGCCCCAGATCATCCACATAGATTTGGGTTGTTGTCAACAACAACCCAAAATGAGTGTTGTCAACTTACAACACCCCAAAATCCCCAAAATCCCCCAAAACTCCCAGGATTTCGTCTACTCACAGCATGAGACCCTCACGCCGAAGAGAATCGGACACGCCAAATGGGCGGGCCTTGCCAGCTCCGTGCCCAATTCTTGGGGCTGCGAGTGGGGGAGACGTTGCGCGGGACGGAGAAGCGCTTTTTCGCTGGCCGAAAAATATTTAGAAGGAGCTTGGGTGCACGAATCTGCACCAGGCAACTTGTGTGGAACAGGGGTGCGAACGGTGGAGCAGAACAGAACCAATCAAGTACCGACTGGTGTCCTAAAAAATGAGATTCGACGGCTTTGCAGACAATTTCGAAGCTAAAGCTCTTTCTTGGAGATGTCAACAATCTGAATGTGACTCAGAATTAAAGAGCTGGGGCAAACCGCAGGTTTTGGTCTTTGTTTCCGTCCATGGGGCCCAACAATTGGTACCACCTGGATCGCCAGTTGCGATCGCCTTTTTCCATCTACTTTACCCCAAAAGCCAGCAGCAGCGACCGAAAAGCAAAAAAGAAAAAGCAACTTGGCGATCTAGGATCCATTCTTTTTGCCCCACTCCCTGAAATCGGTTTCGGGCTTGAGTCACTTTTTGGGCTTCTAGACATTTTTTGAGCCACGGCCCTCTGAACCTTTTGAGACCGAGCCTCCGAGGCTGGCTGAGCTGGAGGCCTGCGAAGCTGCCGAGGTCGAGGCAGAGAGTTGCTGTCCAGGGGGGCAACATGGTTCGCATCCACAGGACTTTGTTCCCCTGTTGGTTTTAAAAGGAATCCGGTCACTGCGAAAAAGCAAATGGACTGGTGGGCTTGCACCGGGACCAAGGAGCTGGTTGCTTGGGCCCAAAGAAACCAAGACGCCGGACGATTGGGCGATTCCCACGGGACGCTTTTTCACTTGTCCCGGCACCTGGGCATCGCCAAGAAGTTGATCCTGAGCTGCGGCTTTTTCGGTGCGAGCAAGGGTGCGCCACTCCATACTCCATACCATGCTTTCAAAGAAACAAGACAAGCGGTTTTCAACAAAAAGGAAAAACAAACACAGCCACGAGAACTTGGGTTTGTCCCCAAGACGATCGGTTGGCCCAAACAAGGGCCGCTTCCGGGTCCCCAAAGCGAGCCGCAAGCGCTTGCAGCTCGCGCTGGGGCGGCGGGCTCGCCGTCCATGTCTCCTTTTTCGGGGAAGCCCGTTTTTGGTGGGGAAACAAACGGGCCAACAGGAAAGGAACCTTTAAGGGAAAAGATGGTGCCTTTTACAGCGAGACCAAGAGGAAACTGTGACGAAAAAGTGGTTCCATGGCACACTTTTCTTGATGCTTCCCAGCGAATCGTCCGGTTCAACTTAGGATTTGAGTGGTTTGTAATTGATTTGGTGGTTGGGTTTCCATTTAACCCACAAGTGATCCACTTGTAGCAGGGGATTAGAAAACGGACAGCCCAGTTTAAATTGGTCTCCCAACATCAACGCCATCCCCTTCAGCTTTTCAAGTTTTTAGTTTGTTTAGTGGTATTTTAGCAGGGGATCTGAGGGCAGCCCAGTTACTCGATCTCCCTTTGACCAGCGTTTTATTTTGAGACAACCCAGGGCTAACAGTACCAGGGCAACCCAGCGAATCGCACATCCTCCGGTTCAAGTTAGGACCTTCGGCAGGTTTTTCGTCGGTTTCCGCAGGGGGTTCCTCCGGTTTTCCCGTTGGTTTCGCGGGGGCCGGGTGCCATTTGGAGAGAAGCCGCAGGGGGAGGTGAAGCTGTACCTCTGCCACACACCTTCCGTGGCCTGCCTGCGGCTGCTGTGCGAGCTGCCGGGGCCCAAGCGGAAGGAACGTTTTCGGTGTTTTTTTGGGGTTTCCTTGGGGGTTTCCTTGGGGTCTTGAGGGTGTTCCAAGTGTTCTTCCTTTTGGTTTGGTTGTCAAACCAAGCTCTCTTTGGTTGGCAACCAGAGGAAACCAGAGGGAAACCAGAAGGAACCCAACCTTTTTTTGGTGTCTGTTTTGGCAACAAGTAGATGGTGCTGGCTGTTTCCTGAAAGAACATCTGTGATCGCATCTATTTTCCTTACAGGGCCATCCATTTTCCTAAACGGATATAATGATAACTCTTTCCCCACCAATTGTTTCTTTTGGGCCATCTTGAGGACCAGGTTGGCCAGTGCGTTGCCTTTCACTTTTCGCTAAGGCGTGCAGACGAGACCACTTGTGGCAGCAAGTGAGAGAACCCCGGTTGTATTCCCCTTCGGTACTGCCCGCTTTGTATGACCCCAACATATGTACTCCCCACGGTTGTGGAACATGTCATTTGGAACCCGCCTTCCATGAGACCTCGCCTTGAACCCCCTGAGGCAAGACCGCACTGTGGATGGTTGCGAAATCCATGTCGCACCACCTAAGAAACCATGGTTGAATTGAAAGTTGAAACCATAGCTTTTGTTGGGTATTCGCGTTGGGGAATCGAATCGTTCCAGGTTTTCTTAGGTGGTGCGAGAAGCGAATTTCGCAACCATCCGCAGTATCACCACCCGTGGTTGGTGGACATGAATTGGGCCCCCCACTGAGCTTTCATGTGAGAAGGGTCCCACTTCAAATTCATACCTTCCACATGCGTTTCGGAATTTGTCCGGTCTTCCCCTGCGTTTCAAAGGGTCTCATTTTTTCCAGGGGTAGGATTTCAGGGCCCTCAAAAGGGAAACCCCCGGGCTCAAGGCGACAGTAAGGGACCAGCAAGTGCCGAATCTTCATGGGCGGCAAATCCTTATCAGTAACACCCTCTGTTTGAGGGCATCTTTCTCAGCTTGGCAATAAAGGAAGCCAAAGGGCTATCTCAAGAGTTGCGGTAGCAGACACGTGAATATTATGGTTCCTAGGAATAAACCAGCCTGGTTTTATGGTTAAAGTTTAGTGGTTCAGGGTCTTTCTCAGAGAGCATACCTTATATGCAACAGGCACTGTGTGTCTGTAAACAGCTGGTTTCCCATTTGTTTCCTTTTGGGGCATCCCCCGAAAGAGGAGGCCGGAAGAAACCAGCAAAGCAAGGACAACAATGTAAGCGTAACACCAAAACAACCAACAAGCCACACACACACACACAACTACAAACTTGAAAAACCGCAGAGTCCCCAAGATGTTTCCAACAAAACAAAGAATCACCAAGACCAAAAGCAACACCAACCCCAAAAAACCGAAACAAGACCAACACCAAAAGCAGATGGTGCAATCAAACCACCACGAACCACAACCATGACCCCTTAAAAGCCAAAAAACAAGAAAAAACGCGAAACACGGCGACCACTCCTCGTGCTTTCGAGGCAGCAGACGCTGCCACGCTGCGCCTTGAGCTTCGCCTTCGACGACGCCTGGAGCGGCTTCTGCGGCGCGCCGCGGTGAATGCGACGCAGACGCGACGCTTCGCTCGCGAGGAAGACGAGCACGCGGTGGGCGGTGCTTGGAGCCCCGGCGGCTCTGGGTCGGGCCATTTTTTTTTGTCTGGTTTTCCCCTGCGTTTCAAAGGGTCTCATTTTTTCCAGGAATAGGATTTCAGGGCCCCCAAAAGGGACCCCCTGGGCTTAAGTCTTCCCATATCGGGTTCAAAGCCAATGAGTGTTTGTTGGTGGCTTGGGGCAGCCTTCAGGGAAGGTTCCCGAGAGTTTTAGAGGGTTCCGCTGTTGGGGATACCACCTGATTTGTTTTTTCTTCATTTTTTTTTGAACATTTCTTTTTTTAAGGGCTGATTCTGGGTCTGTTTATTGATATAGAACTCTCGTTGGCAAAGTGAGCTTGATGTGTTTGCAGCACACCAGAGGCGGAAGGGCTGTGGCTGAAACAAAGGGCAAGGTTCCAATTTGTAGCGCCACAAGAAGCGGGGGGTTCGGGGGACTTTTTGCATCTTGCAGGGTTCCTCTGCAAGGTGCAACTTGGGGCCAACCGGTTTTGAGCTTCACTTTGGCGCAGTGAGCAAAAGTCCCCCTCTCAAGACAACATGGCGCCTGTCGGGGATGACACGCCAGCCCAGTGGGAAGCATGATGGGTATCACCAAGGTGGTAGAAAGCAGCCGGTGGAAGCGGAAGCACAACGTGCAGACCCTGGTTTCGGAGACCAGAGCACCACAAAGCAGGGAACGAAAGGCGTGCCACTCGAAGAGCTCTCTCGCTGTGAGCTGCGGAGAAGCGAAGAAAGAGAAGGAGAGGCAAAATGAGGATGAGCAGCGAGAAGAGCAAGACCAAAAAGCGGCAAGAGATGCAGAGAGCGGAGGCAAAGGCAGAAGGAGGAGAGCCCTGCCAGCGCGAGAGGCTCGGGTGGGCTGGGGGGGTTGGCTGAAAGAACCAGACATGACTCAACCACCACAAAAGGGAAGACACGTGGATGTAGTTGAAGCAATGTTGGGGATTCAGTTGCCACCATTAAAACAATGAGGGTTTCACATATCCCCCATTGTTTGCCCAAAGGATTGTCATCATCTAAATTGGGTCCCAAAACCATTCTTTTAAAGGGCCCAAGGAACCCTAGGGTTTGGGTAAACCGATTGAGAAACAGGTTTTGAGTCGTGGATTCAAGTCCTCCGTTTGGAGGGGATCCAAACATGCAAACCCAAAGAAGACATGTTGACTCCATTCTAACAACCCCCACCCCCTAGCAACAAACTGCAGTTGATCAATATGGCTGTCGCGAAAAATGTGCAAACATGGCACCTCGGTAAATGGAGCCAAACGGACAAACCTGCGTACACTCCCTGGAATTAAACAGGAAGCTCCGAAGCTTTTATTTTTTATTTTTTTGCAGGTTAGGCGCAAAAACCAGGCTTTTGATAAATGCTAACATAGAAGTCCCTGGGTTTTTTTGGTCGGCTTCCGCATTTCAGAACACACAGCTGACTTCCGACAATGGTTTGGGCAACGGCTCCCTCAAACCCTCAAAAACCCTAACCCCCCCCCCTAACACAAACCGAACTCCCCCCACACTTCCAGAACTGGCCCAGAACCCCACCTACGTACGTACGCCGTACAACTGGGCATGTGGGGGTGAGATTGACTCGGAAACAGCATTTTTTGGCATTAGCGGGCGGACACACCGTAATTTTAAGCACGTGTTCTCCTTTACATGGAAGTGCAGGGCCCATTTTCAGGTTCTATGTTAGGATACTTTCGTCGGTCAGAACGTGTGTGTTCACTCTCGTTTTTTTGTTTACATGGAAGTGCAGGCTCGAAACCGGCCCCCCGAAGAATCTAGGGTTGTTTTGGGAAACCCCAGGATTGCCGTGGCGAGGGGCACCTGGCACAGATTCTATGTTAGGAGATGGTCGTACCTTCCCAGTAAAAAAAAAGAGACAGGCATTTCCCCAGGAAAAGACGGTGAAGGGACTTCCATGTTAGAGGGACTTCTGAGAGCACGGACTTCCTGTTTAATTCCAGGGAGTGTAACCCCCTGCTGTTAATTTTGAGCCACACGTCAACATAAAGGGGGGAGACTGTTCCCTCCTGTTGGTCCAACAGGTTGACAGGTTGGGTGGGGGGGGGGGGACAAGGCTCCTGCGAGGCGAAGCGGAAGAACACCTAAGCGAAAGCTATGCGAGGTATGCCAAAGCTAAACCCAGTTATGAGGGCTCAGGGGAGGTCTGGGGTTAGATGGGGCAAGTTTTGATGTTTCTTCGGCGTGGGGTGGGATTGATTCGCGTTTTTTTCCCTTTCTTCCCCCGAGCTTCTGCAGCCTCACGTTCCTTGGAGGCCAATCCACACTGGGAGTTGTTTGTTAACCAAGCGCTTATTTTTTGGGGCAAACCCACTTCGGAATTACATTTTTAACTAGACGCTTCGACCGCTGTTATTTGAACAACCTCTATTTGGTTCCCTGGACAATTGGGGAGATTGGTTAAAGCAAGGCGAACCAACCAACCCTGTTTTCAAAATCCCGACAAATCCCAATCCTGACAAGCAACCACACAAAAACCCAGTGAAGGACACCAAGGGAACCTTAGCACTTACTCCTTGAGTTCCGTTCGGGCTTTAGTCACTTTGGGTTTGCATTGTGGACCAGGGCTTCGGGTTGATTTCCCTCGTTTCGCGTGAGCTAAAATCCATGGAGGACGTGCTTTTTGCCAGGTTTCCCGTCCAACGACCAACAAAAAAAAGGGGCGGGTGTGCCTTTTTATGTTTTTTAGAGACCCTACATGGCCTCGGTCTTCCTCCTTCGTTTCTCTTTTTTTTTCACGCAACCGCAAAAAGGGGGGCTAGCCTCCAAAGAGATCAGGGGCCCCGACGGAACTTGCAGGCTGGGCCAAAGAAGGGTTTTTAAGGGCCTTTGTGAGCACAAACCCTCTTTTTTGGTGTGGTTTTCACTTGACTGCTATTGCGTTGGATCTTTAGACTTTAACTTTTTGGGAAATAATGGTGTTTCCACTAAATCCCCAAAAAGTTAAACTTTTTGAGGGGGGTCAAGAGCAACCAAGTTAAGCGGAAGCCAAGAGGGACACCGAAGCCTTTTTTTGCGGTCCCCCTATTTTTGTTTCACATACCCATCGCAAGCAAATGAGCTCCATAAGCCAGACACTCGCAGGGTTTTCCCCTTACTTGCTGGGCCTCAACCGTATGGCGGACACGGACAGGTCTGTGTTGAGACTTCGCCCGTCTATGGTCAAGGGTCGAAATGGGAAAAATCCAGCTTTTCATGGGTCGAAATGGGAAAAACCCAGCTTTTCATGGGTCGAAATGGGCAAAATCCTGGGTCGAAATGGGAAAAAACCAGGCTTGCTCATATCCCCACAAAATCAACACCGCCGAGCCTCGTTTTCTTGACCGAATCGCTTGACCTGGAAGACTGGGGCCGCCTTGCAAAGACCCCACTGCGACTACCTGAGGTTGCGACCTTGCCATCACTTCCACATTATGGCAAACCGAATTCGGTTCGATCGGCGATCCCCGAACCTGGATTCGGGCCTGCCTTTTTTTAAAGGGGGGTCCCCTCCCCCCCCGCCCCAAATGGGTGGTTTTCCTTTTGGTTTTCCTTTCAAACCGCCAAAATTAAGCTCAAAAGAAGAGACACCCATTTCCCCAGGAAGCCTTCACCCAAAGAAGGACGCCCTTCGGGGCACTTCGACGCCATTGTTCCTGCAGGTTTCTGGGCTCATTCAAGTGACATCCCTTATGCTTTTTGTTTTTTTTGGAGAACAAACACGCTCGATGGTGGCCTTTTCAAAATTTTCCCACACATTTTGTTTACGGGGGGGTTTGCCAAACAGGTTGAACAAAGAAACCCCCCGCAGGTCGGGGAAACCCCAAGGGTTAGCAGTTGGAGGTGTGCCTTTCCTTTGCGGGATATCCCACTACCCCACAGGATTTTTTTTCGAGCACCTCCTTCAACTCCTTGCCACGGACGAAAACGGTCATCCGCTTCGCGCTCACATTCGCGCAGCTTTTTGTTGGGTTCCGATCCCCGGAAGATCCATCCAGGCGCCCTCCCCTCCAGCATCACCCGAGGCCAGAGCATCAACTCCGCCCCCCCCCCAACCAGCCCCCTGGAGGCTCGCCTCGGAGGCTGCTGAGCTGGACGCCTGGCGCGCGGACAAAGTCTCTCCCAAAAAGGTGAGAGCCATGGCGCCCGGAGCTTTTCCGCCTCCAAAGGCAAGTGGCCTCTGCGGATATGTTCAAATATCCTGAAAGAAAAGACCAGGTGGTGGTTTTGAACTTGGAGGGTCAACCTCTTCTTTTTTTTGGCTTTTTGGTTGCCTTAGTGGTTGGAGTTGAACCCGCTAAGAGTAAGTCACTCTTAGCAGGAGATCTGAGGACAGCCCAGTTTTTTGAGGGCACTCAATTTGGTTTTACAGGGACACCAAAAGGACGCCAACATCTTATCATGTTTGTAGAATTCCTAGATCCCATATGTTGGAACCCATTCAACGGAACTCAATGAAGCCTGTGCCTCACCGGGCTAGGGGTCGGAGGTAGGAGGGGAGTGAAGGAGCAGTTGGTCAGCAGTTGGGCGAGGGTAGCATTGGTAGGGACCTGGATCGCCAGTTGCGATTGCTTTTTGCCATGAACCAAGCAACAGTGACTGAACAAAACAGCAAGCTGGCTATCTAGAGAGTAAGCCACCCCAGGTGTTTAGAAGCCTTGAAGAGAGGGACTCTGGGGGGTGACAATTCGTGGGATGACTCTGGGCCAAGTACACTGGGTTTAGCGATGAAACGAGCATGATGAAGGTGCCTTGTTGTGAATGAACAAATAACCGATGTCATCTGACCCCTCATTGATGGTTTCGGATGTAACCTTCTCCCCTTGCATCTCCAGTCCAATCCTTCCTGTTTGAAGCAGAGCTGACTGAAAGTCTGGTGCAAAAGGAAGCGTCTCGGATCCTTCCGGTTTTGCAGAAGCAGAGCTCAAGGGCTGAAAAGAGCGTCGCGCCGCGGGTCAAGAACGAACAGCCGACAAGCAGCCAGCCGCCAGACCCCAAGACATGCTTCCTACAAATCATCGCAAGGATGGAGGGTCCCTTTGGTGAGGGGTTCAGTTTGAGGTTTGATGTTAATCTGTAGAGTGCATGGTTTATCCCTTCCCACATTCCGGGAAAATCTAGCGGAGAAGGGGCCATTCTCCATTTCACCCACTCAAAGTTAGTCACTTTTAGCGGGGGATCAGAAAACACATGGCCGGGATGGAGACATGGCCTGCGGCGCTGCAGTTCCTCGCACCAGGGGAGGCCAGGAGGAAGATGGCTTGACTGCTCTTGGGGGCGGAAGGGGGCGGGTTTGGGGGGGTGGTATGCTGCTTGTTTTCTCTACTGCTATTCGGCAACGGATCTTTAGACTTTAGCTTTTTGGTTGAAATCAAGTTGGGGTTTTCCACTCAACCCCCAAAGAGTTAAAACTTTTTTCAGGGGGTCAACAGCAACCAAGATGGGAGGAGAGCAAACCTTGAGGGCGGCCCGGGATTTATTTTTGCCCTGTTTTGGTTTTTCCTGTTGGGAATCTCCAAAAGTGGCGGCGATCGTTTTGGTGGAAACTTTCAATTTGATTCCGCTCCCATCCGCAGTTTGGTTGGAATCACAGCTCGCTCAGCCGTCCCTCGTCATGGCTCCTCGCAGCTCCATGTTGGCCGCCGCTGGCGTTGCGGCTGGTGGTTACGTGGCCGCGCAGGCCTTCGTGCCTGGTGTCTCGGGGCCTACGGTGAGCGACGTGAACGATGCAGGGGCAAGCCGCTCAAGCCTGCGTGGAGCCACGGCAGCCCCAGCTCAGGGCTCTGGCAGCGTGCTGCCTTTGATGGGCCTCGTTGGAGTGGGAGCCGTGGCCGCAGGGCGCGCAGGACGCATGGCCCGACGGGCAGAGCCCGTGTCGGCCGCGGCTGCGGCAGTTGCTGCCAAGGCGGCTGCGGCCGCCAAGGGTGCAGCCGCTGCCAAGGGTGCTACTGCAACCACTTCGGCCGTGGCCGGCTCTGCTGGCGCCGGATCCCTTACAAAGGGCGAAGGTGTTGCAGGCAAGGGCGGCGGCAGCTATGCCTTTGATCCCGCCACCCAGATTGGTGCCATGGACCCTCTTGGCTATTTCGACCCCGCCGGCTTCTGCAAGAAGGGCGATGAGGCCGGCTTCCGCAACTTGCGCGCAGCTGAGATCAAGCACCTTGGCGGTTTCCAGCCCAACCCTTCCTTTTTTGACGGGATTTAGTACGTCCCACCAAAAGTTTCACTTGTTGCGAGGGTTCAACGTACCACTAAGGCATGGCCGTGTAGCCATGATGGCAGCATTGGGTGCAGTTGCGCAGCACTACATCAAGTTCCCTGGCTTCGAGTCCGTGCCTACTGGCCTTGCCGCTTCCATCACTGCACCCGGCAGCTACGGCTTCGTGGCCCTCTTCGGCCTGAGCGGCATCCTTGAGTTGGCTGCTTGGACCGAAAGCGACGACAAGGAGCCGGGCAACTTCGGCGACCCGCTGGGCCTGAACCAGTACAACCAGGAAATGCGGGAACCTTGGGCTGCATGGAGAAAAGGCTGATTTGTGAACGGCTGCCGTGCGTGGCTTTTGCTACCTGTGATGACTTTGCCAGCAATCCCTTCAAGCGTATGTTCCCTAGTGTGCGGTCAGCCTTGTGGTTATTCGCATTCTCGTGTTTTGTTTGTCTTTACACATGTCTTGGCGCGTTTGGCGTGGCTGAGGAGAGGGAGCTCAACAACGGCCGCTTTGCCATGTTCGCCGCCCTGGGTATCATCGCTGCAGAGCTTTACACTGGCAAGGATGCAATTGAGCAATTCGGGCTGTGAATTATTTGAGTCGGATATGACATGCAACAAGTTTGCTGTTTTGCTCGAGAGGGGTGCATTTGCACAGACGAGTATGGGCAAAGAGGTCTCCTTGTGAGAATTGAGTGGTTGTTTTCAGCGAGTCTTGCCCTTGCTTGCTTTCCCCTGCCTCATTTTCTATGGATCGTCGTCTTCGGCCTCACAAATGTGGCTGGAATTTTCGCATCGGGTCACACCGACTGCCCGACCATTTTCGCAGGCCAAAGCGCCGCAAGTGACAAACCTGCAACCCTGAGCGGCGAATCGCGCGCAATTTGCCGAAGTTTGCCGATGTGTCAATCGCATTTGTGGGGGTGACATGCTTAGAGCTATTGGAAGTGGAATTGAGGCGACCCTTCCACCAATTAACGTGTAACCTGCCAGGGAGTCCCTTTACCGGCAACATTGGTCTTCCACATGTTCATTGGTGGGAGGGTACCTTTGAGTGCAGGACCTTTTTTTCTTCTTCTTTTTCCCCCCTTTTTTCCATTTTCCCAGTGGACATTTCTGAATAGGAGCAAATGCGATAATTTTTCCTCACAAAGCTGGGCGCCTGAAGACCATGATGCCCAACGCCCCCTGCAAACGAGCAGGGATTCCTTTAAAGTTCCGCCTGATTGAAATGTGCCCAACGGGTCCCTAGTTTTTGCACCCGAGTTCTTCTGTCATAGCTTCTTTGGTGCATTTTGCCAAGGGATGTTAGGACTTTAACTTTTTGCCAACTAATGGGTTTTCCACTAAACCACTAAAAGTTAAACTTTTAGCAGGGGAGCAGAAAGCAACCGAGGCTTCTTATACAGCGGATGGGAAGCTGATTGCAATGGAGGCTTTCATAGGGGAACCACACCGCGGTTCTTGCAGGTCCCGTTCCCTTTTGTCTTTCACAACAACCCGCCTTGCCGTTAAACAGCCATTTGGTCGTGTCCTTTTTTTTGGGGGAACATCCTCTTGCCGCGATTCAACGCTGCTTTGGGTAAGAAGAACGCCGGCCGCAAGCCCAAACCCCAACTACAAAACTCGATCCAGGCACGAAAAAACACCCCAACGCCGTGCGCCGGCGCCAGCCTGTCTTTTTGTCCGACGCGTCCGTCAGGCGTCGGAAGTGCAGACAGGCAAGTTGTCGCTGTACTGCAAGAGCCTGCTGCGGTTCAACAAGAAGAAGCTCGAGCTGCCGAAGCGCGAATACATGCCGGGGCCTTCAGATCGAAAATTGGTTCGACCGACCACAAAACACTGAGGGGGGGGGTTCGGGTTTCGGACTTATTTGAGGGGTGCCGAAGGGAGGGGAGATGGCATGGTGAACCCGTGCCTCTTTTTGTTGGTTGATCAAAGGGGCCTGCGTACGGGTAAGCTGGAAGCAAAGCTAGCCACTTAATATTGACCCCGGCTCGGATCAATAGCGTCTATTAGGGGGGGATCCCTCCAAAAGCTGTCCGAATCTCGCACGACACCTGGTTCTTTCAACCACTTCCATTTGCTTAAGACTTGTTTTTCTCCCTCGTCGGTTTCTAGCACTACTGGACATATTTGCTCATTTTTAACCCAGGCGGCGAAAAAGAAAAAGAAAGACCAGGGATTCTACTGTTGTATACTAATGAACCCCTGTTCATTATTAGGGGGGTGTCCCTGGGTGAAATGTGGGGATTCGGAAAATTTTGGAGATCTTTTCCCGTACAGACACGAATGAGAAGAATATGGGGTCGACAGTACTGGACATGGACAGACTCCACCGGCTCAAAATGGGATCCCCCCCAAAAAATGGCGTCGGTTTTTCTGTTTTCCCCTTGAAACCCACGAAAGAACCCAGCAACAAACTTAGCGTTTGGGTGGTTCCCGGCCATCACCTTAGGTTTCGATAACCCCTCCCCCCTTTTTTCACCGTGATTCCTATGGGGTCAAAATGATTTGCTTGTTGTAAAGCCTGTTGGTTTCCGGTTGAAACCCACAACATAACCCAACAAACAACTCGGAGCCGTGGCCAAGCTTCGCAAAGCTTCCAAGTCGGCAGTCTTCCATTTGCTTGAGACTATTTGTTTGTTTTCCCTTGTTGGTTTTAAAAGGAATCTATCACTACCGGACATATTTCTTCATTTTTTTGCGGGGGTCTTAACCACATCGAAGCCGCCGAGCCGTTGGCAGTCGGACGTCCTCAGGGACGCCTCCTGCACTCTGGCGAGCCAGTCCGCACCGCCTGAGATGGAGGCCGGGAGGCAACGCGCCAAGCGCCAACGTGCCCCCCCCCCCCGCCCGAAGTTCGAAAAGAAGACTTGGCTGTGGCTCAAAATTAGAGAGCCAGGGCAAACCGCAGGTTTTAGTCTACCTGTCCATTGACCGAGGGGCCATCTTGGGTACCATTTTCTGAGCCGCAGCCACCTGAGAACTCCCCTTTCTTTTGGCGGGTCCTTAGCTTATGACCGGGTTTTGATTCCGACCAATCCCGGTTCACCGAAGTTTTTGTTTTTTGTTTTAGTTGGTTTAGCCATCCGGATCGATCTCCGTGGGTTTGGTCTCTTGCTTTCGGTTGGTGGAAGCAACAATGAGATCTTTTGGCATTTGAGGTTCACTATGCTTCCATTAGGGGGCTTAAGCAAATCGAAGCACGGGCCAGGATCCAAGATATCCTTTTTGTTTTGCCTTGGTGGCTCCCAGCCATCCCCTTAGCTTTGTCGGGTTTTACTTGGTTTAGTGGTAGGTTGCATTGAATCTAAATCTACAGCCCTGTTTGCAACAGTAAGGCGTCCAGCTGAAGCAGCCCTAGTCACTTGGTGATTCCCAGCCATCCCCTTCGGTGTTTGGCTTTTTAGTGCTTGTAGTGGTTGTGTTATAGTTTTTTGTTTTTATATGGGCAGTTCGTCTTTGGGAGACCCTTTTGTTGTATCGCAGAATTTCCCACAGCCCTGCTACCTTTCGTGGGGAAAACAAGAGGTGTGTGTTTTGAGGGTATTCGTTTCAGGTTGGGCGGAAAAGATGACCGAAAGTCAGCAACGGACTGAACGATGGATCACTTTGTCCTAGCGATGAAACACATGTTTACTCTATTCGGATCAATCGAGTACCTACCACGGGATGTCATGACAACCTTTGTCGGACTTGGTATGTTCCCAGGAGTGTTTGATTGAGTGAAGAGGAGGCACGCGGATTAGACATGGTATCCGCGCAACACGGCACCTTGGGACCCAAAGAGTCAAGCGTGTGACAAGCTTCCACACAAGGTGGGTCAACAGAGAGCCCAGCCTGTCAGTGTTTTCGTGAATCATGCTGCTTCATCGGTTGAGCAGACGCAGGCCGGTGTGGGATGTTCCTCTGGAAACGCCCGAAACAGCTGATTGCATACCGCCATACTTTACACCAACCCATGGCCATGTAGAACCCCAAAGGGGGGCTGGGTTTCTGGTACAGCAAGCGATGAGTTTGACGACTAAGCTGGCTCATTGATTCACAGGGGTTCATACACCAGCTATTGATCAAACCACCAAGTAGTGGCGAGATGAATATGTGGTGGCGGTTCGCAAGCCGAAGAAACGCCCGGTAGGTAGGTCCACTACTTTTGGGTGTGTTTGTTTTTCCAGGCCCAAATCGTATTTTGATAACCCCTCAATTTCAAATTTTGTTGCGTCAAAGGGGGTTGCGAGCAGATGGGAAGAACAAAGAGGTCGAAAAGGACCAGGGTTTGCACAGTAGCCTCTCTTTCCGCTCGCAGTCCCTGTCCGAACTGCAACCCGCGTCTTGAAAAGAACCGACAAGTCGCCCCGAAAAAACTCGCCCGCCGGGGGAAAAACAAAGCACCAAAAAAGAACACAAACAAACAACAAAAACAAAAAAAGAAAAGAAGACAGGGAGCCACACACACACACACAACTACTGGCGAGCGCGAGTGACGGAGGAGCTCACGGTGCGGATTTTCTTCGGCGTGGACTGCCTGGAGGTCACCTTCAAGCGCATGGAGGTGCCGGGCCCAGCCATTTGAGCCACGTGCTCAAAACCGATTCGGGTGGATGAAGGTTAGTACCAGTCCCAGCCAGAACTTTGGTGCATTTTGCTTGGCTGTTAGGACTTTAACTTTTTGCCAACTAAGGGGTTTTCCACTAAACCACTAAAAGTTAAACTTTTTGCAGGGGAGCAGAAAGCAACCGAGAGAAGTAGTTGCGGATATCCGGCTTCTTAATTCTTGAAGCATGGTTCTGGGATTACGACCATTTTTTTAATACCGGGTTTTGATTTTGACTCATTTTTCTTTCCGGCCGAAGTTTGCACTTTCGGGGGAAATGGCGCTTATTGTGTGTGTGTGTTTTGTCTTTTTTTTTTTGGGGGGGGGAGGAGAACTGAATATGACAATACTCTTTTTTGGATCCTTACTTTGGATGCCCAAATCGGGGGCGTCTTTTGCTTGCCCTTTTGCTTGGTTTTCAGGGAAACAAAACCAAGCGACTTTTTTTGGATCGTCATTCAGGGAACCCAAACATGGTGACTTTTTCCTGCGAGGTAGCCTTTTGAAAGTGGTTCAAGTGGAGCCAAACAAATGGGACTCACCATTTTTGGGGTCCAAGCAGCAATTTTGTCCGCTGCCCACACCCCTTACACCCAATACCCACTTTTTTTAGGGTATCATGAAAACCCTCTACTAAAAAAGGAGGTATTTACCATGGAAAACCAGGTTTTCCGAAAAAATACCCTAAACAAAGTGGGTATTTGGAGTAGGGGGCATGTTTCTTTGTGTGTTTTCCTAGTCCCGGCGTCTCGCTTAGAACCCAAAGGATCAAAAGTTCAGCTTCCTTGGAACATTTGCTGGGCTGTTTGGCCAAGATCGTAAGTGGGGCCGGTAACCCGGGCGGGCGACTTACCGGCCCCACTCACTCGCGAGTGGATATAACCACTCGGTTGCTAAGCACTTCACTGGCTTGAAGCTGAACAGCCAAGTACCGAGCACCAGGGTTTGTCATTTGCCCTCCGAAAGGTCCGAGTCGTTTCCGGTTTTTGGGCCCTCCAAGTTGGTTTTTGTCGGCCCATGGAGCTCATGGGTCCGGGTTCTCCATAGGCTTAGGCTCGGTGTGCATTGGGTTTGTGGGTGTCCATGACTCAATGACCCTTCCCGCGTCCCCCAGTAGTGCCCTTTTGCCGTTGTTTTTTTGGGGGAGGGTTCCCCTGCTAAAATAGACTACAGAAAAAACATGGTCCCCTTATTCTAACCTCTCTACTGGAGGACCTATTTTTGACGGCTCTCGGGAACCAACAGATCTCACGGCCGGGAACCGAGGATGCCGCTGCCTTCTTCGACGCCGCGGCGGAGCGCTACTCGCGGCTCGTTCGGGTGTGGCGTTTGTTTTCAGTGCCGATGGGGTGGGGGGGGGGAGGCCCACTGCCGGGGTACCTATCCCAGAAGGGAACTGGTACCTTTGTGGTAGTAGAGGTCGTTGATTTGGTCCCTGGATCTATTCCGGAGAGAATCCAATATGCCACTATGGATGATTGGAGGATGGATTGTCCCTGGCGGATTGTCTTGTGGATAATCCTGTAAGCGGCCTGCAAGGATTCTTTTGTCTCGCGATCACCGATGATGCAATGTTACACAAAAGGGGCCTTGAGCCAAATGTTGCAGGAGATCAAGTGTTCAGTAAACCAAACACAAAACAGACACAAATTTCTTTTGATCTCCAGCACTAAGTATGAAATACTATTGGCTTCATGGCCTTTGGCCGTAGCCTTGATGTATGCCGTAGCCATGCTGTATGCCGCAGCCATGTGAATTAAAAATGCCGGATTCATCCTCTTTTCTGCTCGGATGAAATGTCTTGGCTTTCGAAATGGAAAACACTATGTACTGTTTCTTTCTGAGATACCTAGATGTATCAAAGGGTGATGTACAACGCTATGTACACGCGGGACGATTGTGAAACTATTGATCTCTCACTGTATAGTCTTGTAGGCGGTGAGGATCAATGATCTGACTTGATTTCGTGGTGCTGAACGTATGAATCTTCATGGTCAGTCGGATCGACGATACGGCTGCTGTTGGATTGACTGCCATAGTCTCCATAATCATTCCAGGTCGAGGTGCTATAGTCCTTCCACTGCTTCTGATGTCCCCACTGCTTGTTGTAGTCCTTGTACTCCTGCGGGGTCCAGGCTTGTTTCTTCTTGAGGTACTCCTGGTATCTCTCAGAGTTGCGTTGCCTGGTTGCAGATTTGCTGCGGATGTAAACCATGAGGGGACTGTGCGAATCGGAGTCCTGCGAGCCATTCATGAACATGTCATTGTTCACGTGCTTAAAGCGCTCTGCGGATGAGACCTGGTAATCGAATATGGCCTTGGTTGGATCGTTCCGCATGAATTCCAGTTGTTCATCGTCCATGCCGTTCATCTCGTCCTTCCGGAAAGCCTGCTGGATGTTCGTTTTGCCCCATCCAAATACGAAAGTCATCATCACATCCGGGAATGTTCGATCATATCCTGATCCACACTTCATGTACAGGTGATGACGGACAATGGATTTCAGGGTGCGCGAAGTCTCCATTGCATACTCCATTCTCTCCACGAGTGGCAAATCCTTCGTTTCATTCCACAGTCTCTGATATGCTCTCATGAGGATGTTCACGAGACCGTTGGCCGGATTGAAGACGTGCTGGAGTTTGCTGTAGGTATTCGCTGATTTATTGGCGTCTCCGGTTATCGCATCGCATCGGTACAAAGTCACGAGCGGCATGATTTCATTCTGAAGATCTTCCCGTGCTGCTCCATGGCTGATTGAAGGATGAATGTGGAAAACTCCAATGGTAGCAAATGGGAGATCTGCCCTCGTTATGTGGCGGTCGTCATACTCTTGGAGTGACTTGTTGGATGATTTCGGGATCATGCCACGAACCTCATCACTCTGCTCGATATGGAGAACGACGATCTCCTTGTCTCGGCCATGTCCTTGGACAATGGTGCGTGCTGGCAATCTCGGTCCAATGTACTTCTTGGATTCAGTAAACATGGATGGTCCTGTAGTTGCCAAGCAATCCGAGGTCGGAATTTCGTATTCGGGATCAGTGCAACTTCCTTCGGTTCCGAAGAAACATCTGAACATTCCGAATGTCCCCAACTCTGACCCTTGGTGGAAATGTGTCTTGCCAGAAGTTCCACTCTCGCAGAAGGTCCGCCACGGACAAAGCATGCGATCGGTCTGGATGACCGTTGCTTGATCACGATGCCCTTGTACCCGAAGCGGATGAACGTCTTGATGAGCTCCCTGGATTTCTCATCATTAGGACTGAAGAATGCGTCTGCTTCATTCAGGCATAAGATGTGTGCACTGTTCTGCATCATCATCTTCACGATCGGTCGATCCTTCGTCGGCATGTTGTACACCTCCCTGTTGTCCAGCTTTGGGTTCCTCGTGAGGTTTCCATGGTTCAGGGTAAGAACTCATGCATCTTGAGATAGTCCACAGGAGGACGGTCGGTCGGCTGCATCAGCGATCCCAGGATGTCGGCATATGCTCGGATGATTTCCGGGTCATCATGTGACCTAAGCTTCTTCAATCCAAGTGGAAGCTTGATCGGATAGCCGTATCCTGGTTGTGCTTGCTTGTACTCGTCCATAGTGGGACATTCTCCTCGATGAGGGAAGTAGAATTCTTCTTCTCCGAGATTGACATCGGGATCGACATGTGCCAATGAGGGTGTCTCGCACTCTGTCAATTTGGGATGGGTTTTTCTTGGATCTTTGTTGTACTTGTTCATGAAGCGGAGGAGGTTTTCCTCTGCGTCCTTTTTGTTCAAATCTGTTTCGAGATAGATTCCCTTGAGTTCTTGGATGAACTCGTCTAGGTTCTCTGACCTTTGGTTTGACGGATCTTTCCCCGGAGGGTTCCATGGTCTCTTCTTCAGCTTCGTCCTGATCGGTGGAATGCCGTCGCTTCTTGGTCTCTGAGGAAGTATCTTTTTCCTTGCTGTGCTTTGTGGAATTCACAAAATTGAAGAAGGCATCGGCAAATTCACGGATCTTGGTGTCGTACATCTCGTAATCTTCATAACTGAGATGCTTCTTCATGATCCACTTGTTGCTCGCCATGAGGCTGCCATCAGGTTCAAATGCTGCAACAATGTTTCTTGCCTCGATGGTTTGATCTGTCAACGCTGTTCGCTCTTCGGAGAGTCGGTCCTTGAGGAATGCAAGGATCAACAGTGCATCTCTTCCTGCTGGCACATGGGTCAATGCTGCTTCTGACTCATCGTCGTCAAGGATGACGTCATCGATGCGTGCCGTGTGGACGTGCATTCTCCCCGAAGGGTTTGACTGGGATTTCCCAGATTTGAGCCCGTTCTCCATGATGCTGAGGAGCTGATTTCCATAGGTTGCATGGAACATGAATGTAATGGGCTTCTTCGCGAACGGCTTCATTTTTCTCTCTTCTTCAATGGATGGTGGTGCCGGCCTTCGCATTCTGTGCTTGGGCTGAGCTGTGCCTTCATCTTCATGAGGCGCCTCGGATCTTGACGGATGCGGACTTGGTGGAATGGATTCCGTTGGGAGATCATAGTCCGGTTCGTCGTATTGAGGCTCTCTCTGCTGCTCAGAGTACAGGGGTCGTCCAAAGGATTGGATCTCGACTTGTCGTGTGTGTCCGCTATTGCATCTCACGTAGAACTCCATCTCTGGATCGACATAGAATTCCTTGCCATCGGGCCGGAGTGCATCTCGTGCGGATCTTGTGGTGAGCTTTTCGATCCATCGATTCCTTGGAACAATTTCTCCCCGTGCCTTACGTTCCTTATATGACCCGTCCACGGATGGAAGCACGAATGCTTTTTCGAAACGTGATTTTCCATAGCTCGGGAACATAGCCATCAAGAGAAGTCCTGGCTTATTTCCAATGAAGTTCCTGGCATGTGTGATGCAGGTCAATGCGTCATAGAGCTGAACGGATCCATCAGGACCCATGTCCACTTGTCGTCTGCATTCCTTATGGATACCATGCCTTGGATCATGTCGAAGACATCCGGAAAACGATCTGCTCATTCTCTCAATTCGCCAGAGGATGAGGTCGGTGATCTGTTTCGCCTTGGATGGATCCATGTGGAAGTATTTGCAAACCTGTTCGACATTCTGGACGGTCTTCTCGAGATCAATGTTGCCGTTGTGGCATACCATCGGGATGATGTCGGTTCCGTAAACTTCGGACTGAGCATTGGTATAGCAGCAAATGCTGTAGACCTTCTTGATGAAGCCCATGTATTGCTTCTCTGTATGAGGTCCTTCACCTTGAAGTGTTGGCTGCCAGTAGTCGTTGAATCTTACAAACCACCGGTCATTGGATGTGAGAACTGGCCGCATCGCTGGTCGCCTTGGAAGTGCAGGTCGATCACCAGGATGATTGTCGGATTCCGTCTCTTCATCCAGGATGTTCTTTGGTGCTGGCTTGACCTTGGAGACAAGCCTCAATGCTGGTGGCGGTGACTTTGGAACAAGTTTCGGATGTGGCATCGCCTTTGACGTAGGCCTTCCTGCGGGAGGATGCCCTTCTTCATCTGAATCATCGTCGTCGGAATCTGGATCATAATCAACCTGCTCCATGTTGACATTCTCGGGTTGTTGAGAGGCGGATGGATTCTCATCGGCGACTTGCTCCATGGGGCAGTCGGATGTCTCATCTTCCTCATCACGAGCAGGGGATTCCTTCAACGGAGATGCCCGTCTCTTGATCGTCGGCTTTGGCACAGGTGCCGCGGCGCTGGATCGTCCGAAGATCATATTGAGAATGGGCATGTCTTCGAAGTGATCGAGCATACAAGATTGCAAAGGTCGGATCGGTTGTAAACGGCTGCGGATGCAGACACATATTTCTTGAGATTCAGCATGGGTCAAGTGTAAAAACACGCATCACGGATTTGAGGAATTGAAAATGTGCAAAACGGAAAAACTCATGCATCAGAATTCGTGGACATGCGGATCATGCCCAGGTTCCCCAATAAGCAAACATTGATTCTGCTATACCGACTCCTGCAAAGGCAATGATGTCGGGTCCGTGCTTCGTATTGTGTGCTAGCCACTCAACCAAAAACGCCTTGTTCTGCAACATGGTACGGAAAGGTGGATGTGCGTCAACATTCACGAGATTTCCGGTGAGGACGGCCTTGATGAGCTCGTCTGCTTTAGCTGAGTGCTTGGTCAGCGAATTTGCGAGACAATCTTCACTCCGTACATGTGCAAGGTCGTGCATCTGTCCACTCTTGCTTTCCTTTCTCAACATCTGGATCAAATGCATTGTTTCTTTCTGTTCCGGTTGATGTGTTGTGGATGCTGTAGTGACAAG